GCAGATGTGATACGGCACCTGGACATCGGCCTCTCCAGCGCCGTTCCCGCTCATTTTTAAGCGGAGAAGGCGGCACATTGCTGCAGCTGCGGACCCATTGTTTCCTGCGCTGGTACACTTATTATTAGCCCAGTGCAAGGAGAACGGATATACAACTGCAATAGCGTGCCACTTCCCCCGCTCGAGAGTGCACGGGAACGGGGCCGCAGGGTAGCGATGCCATTCGCGCTGCCACGCGACCGGCCACACGCCTAACTATAGTCAGATGTGCAACTTGTATTGAAGAGCCCTGGAGTAAAAGCGACTGTGGTATCGATGCAAGCGCTGCACCTCGAGGACAGCGCGTGAAGTCCGGAAATGGCACCCGGGTACTTTTTAGGGCCCTCAGATTTGAATATGAAACATTTCGAAGAAGCATCCTCTCTGAGGAAAACTTCGGTCTAAATGCTTGCCAGGGATTTTGCGAACCTTACATCGAATTCCGAATTCCGTCAAGAGATCTTACCTCACGAAAATCGCATACTGAATTCTGTTTGAGCTAACCGATCCATACAAAGACGAACATTCATAGCAGTTAATCTTGAAGACGGATTTGCGGACCAACATTCACGCATTACCCGCGCCACGTCGCAGAGCACCTAAGAGCAAATAAAGCTAAATTCTGTTACAACATTAGGCGTATACTCAAGAAAAGTTGTGGCACTATTCACCCTTTACTGCCCCAACCATCCAGAATTGAGCCAGTTTCTGACCGACTTTTTTCTCCGTGGACAGATTTGGCTCAAATGTTGTCTCCTGGGGTAGTTTGACCCCCTACGAATATCACATCGCTTGGCTCGAAACCCCTTGAAGCCAGCGCCACAGAGCCGCTGATCTAGGGTATTCTGGGCTGGCCCTGTGGCTCAAGCACTAACAGGCTTGGGGCCGAGTGGATGTGATATTCGTGTTCAAGAGGTCAGACTACCTTTGAGAACAAGTTTTCAGCGAATTCGGCGATTCAGAGTACTTCAGCGCCAGCGCCTGTGGCGCGGGCGCCAGGGGGGGGGGTTCGTGTCGAGCGGATGAGATATTCATGTACAATAACAACAAAATAATCCAACGTATCGACAACCACATTTACTTCAGCCCCTCCTATACAATGGAAGCGTCAAGCTCATTTATTAGGATAACACAGTCCCTATGTCACAAGTGAGCGACGCAAGGGAGCCGACATGTATTTCCGAGAATTGAATCTTTTTCAACCAAACTGGTTGTTTTACAAATCGAACTGGACAATTATGCGCCGGGCCATCCTCCCGAGTACGCATCCATTCGCTGTACATATCTGCGATACGATAAAACTCCAAACTGTAGTCCGACTCCACTCTCAATCCAAGATTTCAGTGACAGTAGCGCTGAAAAAAAAGGAACTATTACGTTTCAGGACCTAAAATAACACAAGCAGAACGTAAGGCTCATCAATTGCGATATTCAATATCAGTGAGTTTGTAATGCCACGAAAACGCAGTTAGGCTTGGGTGGATAGAGGGGCATTTTGCACTTCCGCTACTTCTCGTTGTCGTGCCGAGCTTTCATGTAGAGATTTGTGAACATTTGTAAGACCCTCCATAAAAGTGATAACAAGAAGTGAGGCCAAGTGAAAATTGGTACATGTCCCTTCATCATTGCGACGCCGGTGGGGCGTGTCAGCAGTATTGAGTGTGCCACGTGTTGAAGCCGTTCTCAGCCTTTTTGCTGAAACGCGTATGCGACAAAAAGTGGTAGAAAACGAGTAATACGAAGGATATAATACAGTAATGTCACTTGCCCGCTTCAACAACTGGTGCAGAACGACTTTCACGCGCCAAAAACGCAGCGCCTGACTGCCGAGGTCCGCAATGATGATAGACACTAGCCAAAGTAAGAGAAGTTAGTAGAGACTGCTCGTCAACTCTTGTAAAGCAACGAACACGACGATAGAAAGAAGGAAGTGCAACATGCCCCCACACACAAGCCGAACTATGCCATGCTCTCTTCTCAGCATAAGAAAAACTTCTTTCCGTTCCTGACTCTTAATTGAGAGATATCTGGTCGCTGCCCAATAGAAAATACTGCCATTGGGCGACATCCGGCCTTGTTCGCTGCGGATGGATGGAACGTTCAAGTGAGGCTGGTCTTGCGCACTGCCATCCCATTCTCCTTCTTACTAGAGCACGTAAGCGACAACAACTGGTGAATAAGTGATACAAGCGTTACGATAAGTCTTGTCGCTTAAGAAAATAAGAAAAAAAGAAAGGCTGGCGCCGAGCCAGACCCATCCCCTGACTCCCACCATCTGCAGCGTAGAATATCTCTTCACGGGTATGTGGCAAGAGAATGGCAATTCGCCGCGTCACTGGGTCGCGTGCGACATCGCGCCCGCTAATGACGACAATTTTAGGTGGTATTGGTCGACATTAGATAAAGGATAAAGGATAAAGTCTTCGCCGTTGATGCAATCCTTTGTGATGCGAACAGCCGCTTCTACTTCCATCGAGAATCGTAGTGTTGGTTGGGTTAGTTGAATCGCGAGGTGCCTATCAATGGACTTGCGGTGCACAGCCGATGTACAAGTCAGTGTTTTAGTCCTCCCAGACGAATCTGTACCAATTCACCGTCCCCGGAGGGTAGAAGGCTTGGTTGGCCTGGGCGGGAGTCGACCCGGGATTCGAACCCGGGACCGCGCGAATGGTGAGCGCCCACTTGTCACTACACCATCTCCGCGACATTAGATAAAGTGTGACCAAAATAGATATAATTGTCTACCATGTCCTTGTCTACACAGAATCCGATGCTCCACCTGCAAGGGTAGCGCAGACCAAGGAAACGTCGCGCCCATCGCCGCGTGCGACGAAGCGGCCATTTACGATTCTGTTGCCCGTCTCCCTCTCTTCACGGAAAGGGCCACCTTCACACTCTGCGAAAATACTGCAGTGTCGCGAATTCTCCCTAATCACAAATTTTGCACATTTGCAGGAAATGAAGCGGCTTAAGAGCTGAAAAAAAAGTCGTAGAAAACAACGGTGAGTCACAAATTTTGCCTACATTTGCAGGAAATGAAGCGGCTTAAGAGCTAAAAAAAAAGTCGAAAAACAACGGGAGGGGGGGGGGGGTGACGACGTTTTACGAAAACTCACCACTGTACCACATTTGTTGCTGTTCGGAAGACTTATATGACCAGCCTCGTAGCGAACAGCAAGGCCGAGGTCCGCTAGTGCACACGAAAGGTCAGCTTTGACAAGAATATTCTTGCTTTTAATATCACGATGAGCAATGGCAGGTTTCTCTAAAAACAGGAAAATGGAACAGTAAGAAAGACTCTCATGAGAAAATTCCTATGAAATCCACTAACTTTGTATTCCCATCAGTTCCGTGTGCAAATAGGAGAGACCGTTGGCGATTCCACGTATCATGCGCACAAGTGTCATTAGACTGATAGTCTGTAACATACAGTTTCCGTTTGTCGGCTTGAATGATTGAGCGCTTGATCTCCCCAGCTGGATTAGGCTTGCTTGAAATGCTAAGGCTACGTTCATACTTCGTGTCAGCGTCTACCAGCGTCGGCTATGCGTCTATCAGCGTCCACCAGAGTGCAGCGCACTTCTGTATTTGAGCAAAACTGCTCGCGAAAACGGTGCTGTACGCTGGTGGACGCTGGCGTTTGCTAGACCGATATCTATAACTTCCTAGTTGCTGGCCTGGCGTGTGCTCGAAAGGCTGGTGGTGGCCGATGGACGCAAAGTATGAACGCAGATTAATCAGAGATCAATTACTGCTAGTGCGGCCAACTGAATGAAAGCAAAATTGAATCGCCTTAAGAACTCACAGAGTTAGATAGATAATCATAGAGGGATCCATGACTGTGATACTCCGTAATTAACCACAATTGCATCACACTGCCAGTATCTGAGAAAAAGCTTTTAAGATGGTTTTCCATGAAGAAAAAGCATTTCCCAGCTTTTCTGGGATAGTTCCAGAGAAAAGTGCACTTTGCCCTTATGGATTGGACTGAATGGGATTCTGGAAGAATTCTCCAAAAAACCTACACACCTTTTCTATCGCTTGCATAAAATTGCAAAATATTGGGATGGTGAAGCATGTGGATTTGGAACGTTTCCACCTCATGAGACCATGCTCCTTCATCGCGTGAAGAGAAAATCTTCACCGCTACCAAGTCGCCCTTCCAAGCACCCAGCCACACCTGAAAGAAAGGGAGCACAAATCTCAAAGAGAATTCTCGCGATCAAGTTTTACGGATAGTAGGTGCTCAATTCATAAACCAGTAGCCCATAAGTATCTCCCAGTAGAGGAAAAAACGAACAAAAAACCTTGGGAAACTCTAAACAGAGACCCCCTCAGCAACGGGGCCTGCGTCCTGGATGAGTTTTTCGGACGTCGGCAAGACCAATCAGCAGGATTCGACGTGCAACCAAATCCCAGCAAGAGCACAGGAAATCACCCTACGACGCTCCAGGCAACGCTATGTACACAATTCCGCATGTAAGCCGTTGTCTTGTGGAGTAAAAAGTAATCGTGATTCATTATGGTTGCGAAATCACGGTGACAGCTTCTTTTTCTTTATTTCCAGTAACGAAATTTGTACATTGCCTGCGAGTGCGAACAATGATGCCAAGTGTACGGAGGTATTTCGCAGAGCACTTGATGCGAAATAATAACAATAGCATCTTTAGTTTCTGACATGCTTTCGTGTTCTGGGAAGCAAACTCTTTTCCCTAAAACTTACACAAGAAGGAGGTCAAAGTGGCCATTCAAAAGTGAAATGACGCTGTTTGGCTTAGAGAGGGGGAAGGCATTTTGCACTTTCACCAGTTTCTTTTGCTAGTTCCTATACACAATTTATTCTAACAAGGCCTGTGAACTCTTATCAACTGCAAATTATGTTCATGCTATTGTGCAGCTTTACAGTAACTCATAAGTTTCAATAGGAGGCAGTGGCAATGATCGATGGGAGCCAGCAAAATGCTCCTCAAAGCCGGACTTCTTCTATTTATGTTCCAAAGCTTCCTTTTGTTCGCCATACTGTAGCATCGCAATTGTTTAAAACCAGTTGCAGCGCAAAAAAAAACCCAGGGTTACTCGAACGCGAGCCAGGGAGTGGTCTTTTCAATAAGGGACGAGAACTGTGGAGTGGGTGAACCACTTATCGAGCGTAAAGCTGGAGTGTGTGAAGCCACGTCACAGTGATCATAGAACGCTATGCAGACGAGGGTGCAGAGAAAAACAGAAAACTGACGCGACTGATGGGAGCGAGTTCAAGTAGAACCACGACAAGGACTTTATACCAACTGATACACCTCTAGAGAGGGACTATGAGGACGTAATTAAACTCTAGTTCGCTGCGGACGACTGGGTGTGTCAGGCAGTATGAGTGTGTCACCCCGTCAAAGCCGTTCTCTGCCTTCTTGTTGAAGCGCGCATGCGACAAAAAGTGGTAGAAAACGAGTAATACGAACGATATGATACAGTCATATCATTTGCTCGCTTTAACAACTGGTAACGGGTTTGGCACCGCGCCAAACTCATCCCGCCTGACACGCCCAACCGTCCGCAGCGAACTACACTATAAAATCTGGTGTATGACCCGCCGGACAAAAGGGGGCGCGGGTGTGGTAGGTGACTGAGTGCTTCAGAGCCATGCGATAACTATGTTGATAATGAGGGTGTTACTTTCAAGAATGCAGTTAACTTTGACTTTATAAGGCAATATAAGGCAACACTGTGGTTAAGCGAGATAGATTCACAGCCTTGCGTATGCACCAAATGGTATGTCTAAAGGCGGAGAGGCGGAGAAGGCGTAAGGAGGCGGAGAAACGCAGTTAGCAAACATACAGGAAACGAGGAAACATTCAAGCCGTTCCTTATCAGGAGAGCTTTTTCGAGGAAATTACTTGTGCCTTTTAAAAACTAAAGAACAAAAGCACATTGAGACTCACATCCCCAAATCTTCCTTGTCCAATTTCACGCACTAGTTCAATCTGTCGAGCAATGTTACGTTGGGTGAGCAACGGTAAGCCTGTGAATCAGGACAGTATTAACACCGAAGGTCCATACAAACTATAAACAAAAAAAATTGGAACAGAATTGTTTGTGGACTGGAATGAACCGCATTAAAAAGAGCGGGAACCAACCAGATCCTGATCCTGATCCAGCATCGGTTGATTCCAATCCTTTCAGTAAGAGCAGCTGAATAGCTGGAGCCGATGTCGTTGTTGTTTGTGACATCGTTTCTATCATTGGAATTTCATCGTCCCGTCTAAAAGAAACAAAAAGGCTCAAGAAAGTAAGGTAGGGACATCAAGATCTAGAGTAGA